GAGATTTACTTAACAAATAGAATACATTTGAATTTGCTTTGATGATCGAATTTGTCGAGAGTTTTAGAGAACAGTTTGATAAAATTGAAGAGGAATCCAAAAAAATTCAGCCAAATAATAATGTTTATAAGGATGAAATTTCAAGAGTTCGTAAGAGGAACAAGTTCTTTGATGAAGGCCCTGCACAAGACATTACTTTAAGCGGTGCTGAAAACTTTAAAATAAATAGTTTTTTTCATATATGTGACAAATTGATTTTTGAATTAAAAATGAGAATTCAAGCGTATGATTGTGTAAATGAAATTTTTGGTGTATTTTTTGTTGAACCCTCAAATTAAAGATTTAATGTAAGTATAAAAAATATAAAAAAATATTACAATATGGATGTGGATGCTACTGAAGATTTAGTGGATGAAATTATACAATTTAAAGCACTTTGTAAATCAAATGATATTTCCTCTAAAGACCCCCAGGAAATGTTAAAATTTTTAATTGATAACAATATTTTGTCAACCTTCTCTAACGTTAAGGTATTGTTCCGTATATATTTAACTATTCCTATTAGTAACGCATCTGGAGAGAGATCATTTTCTACGTTAAAACGGGTAAAAACCTATCTAAGAAACTCATTAAACGAAAAAATGTTTCATCGTTGGCTATTCTAAACGTAGAAAGCGATATTCTAGATAAATTAGAAAAGTTTTCGGAAATGAAAATACGTAAAAAAAAAAAAAATTAGTTGTTTATTTTTATTAATTATTATTTATTTTGTTCGCTGTTCCTTAGAAGCTGCGTTTTTTTTATTTTTTTGTTGTGTTATTAATTTCAGTTAGAAATTTTGTTTAAGTATCGTTTAAATATATTTTTAGTTGTTTGTACCTACTAAATAATTAATAATGTAGGTATGTTTTTTTTTAATAAATATTTATTTATTTTTTTAGATTTATTATTAGAACAATTATCTAATTGATTAATTAAAAATTAAATTTTTTTATCATAAACCTGAAGGTGTCAAAGGTAAGTAGAAACATTCTTATTGAAAAGTTATATAGGGTATTGATATGGGGGGCGAAGTTTTGCATGGGCCTTGGGGCCCCACTAAGTCAAAAATAGGCCCTGGTAGGCCGTCTAAAATATATAGCTTTTCAACAATGATTAATCAAGGTAGGTACTTAAAACCACTTTTATTTCCATACGCCAAAGAAGTATCGCTAGTAGCGCCACCACTCGGCTGTTATCATCGTAACTTTTAATAATCAGCTGTCAAACGCTTATGTTACAAACGAGTGTTTTTGAGAATAAAGCCGGGAAATGTTAAAAAATATCGAAAGAAAACTGTGGCACGATTTGTTGTGTTGTTGGGTGTATTTCGAGAGGAAATCCTGGGTTGAGTTTTTACCGGTTTTCCAATAAACAGTGTTAATCCGAATGAAGAAATAAATTTCATACAGTCCCTGTAAATATAAATTATATCTATAGATACCGAAAAGATACAATAAATACACATTTTAGTAATGATTAACGTGAAAAGTATAAACATGTCAATTCAGTAAAAATCGTCAAACAAATAAGTCGTCTAAATTTAAACAGCATTTAGCATTAATAATGCTGCATTATTAAAAGCGTTGATTAAAAGAAAGTCTCCTCTCAACGGTAAAATACCATTATGTATTATATATATATAATATATATATATAATATTATGTTGCCATGAATTCGTATGAATATTTTGTTGTTTAAAATGCAGTTAACGGCGTTTTTTAGAGAACTCAAACATAAAAATGGTTGATTTTAAGGTTATGTATGTGCAAAAATTACTTTTTATAATTTATTAAATATGTCCAAACTTAAATATGAGTTATATTAGTTACTAGGGTTGCCAACTTTCGGTTATTGAAATAAAGGACAAATCGGGATTTTTTTTTACAGCTTTTCCGATTTTTTTTTTTCGGACGAGGTGATGTAGAAGGGGCACCGCTTGACGTAGATGCATAGATAATAAATCATATAGATACGCCACTGTCACATATTTGACGCTCCTTGTTACGCACACTCGGCCCGCTATGCCGCTAGTGTACCCGCCTGACATTTATTGGTTTTAGGTTATGGTTTTAATTTAGGTTATCCTGTCAAATTTTGACAGTCAAAATAGTAAAAAATAAAAGGCCTGATAGTTTATTTAAATTGTTTATTTGAAAAGCAAAAATAAATGTATTATATTTTAAATTATTCAAGGTATTTACTAAACTAAACCAATTAACAATATAATAATGTATTCAAGTGAATTTTATCTTATTAAAGAACACAAATCAGTATAAAGTAATAATATTATGTACCACATTTGTGTAAGTACCTTGTTTTAATAAAATAGTTTTAATTGAATAATACAATACAACCTTGTCATCATTGTGAAAAGTATGCATCATAACTTGACTGTTAGAGCAGCCCACAGCACAGCACAACACCATGTTAATGTTCAAATAATGTAGCAATATATAAAAAATAGAGTACACAGATAACGATAAATCGCAATTATAAAAGTTTTTAAGCGTACAGAACAAACCAAATAAACAATATGAATTTACAAAACTTTACAAAATTTATCAAACTGAAGTTTGTTGATTTCGTTACCAAGCAACCGTCAAGATTAACCGCCGCTCCTGCCACATGCAACTCGAGTGTAAACTAAAACCAAAGTCGACTAGACAAAAATGTGGATTTTGTTTGTTTAAGGCGAGTGCACAGGGCATGCGTAGATGTCTGTGACTTTGGGACATCATCACTTGCATCGACGACTTTATCACTATTCATGATGATTTGATTGATGATGTTTAGCAAAAACCTGCAAATAAATAATGATTTGGCATTTAGGCAACTACTTGTTTAAAATAGAAAATGCTACTTTTTATGAATCTGTTTAATTTAATTTTCAATTAAAGTTTAAAAATATATTGCGACAAAAAACTGAAATCTAATAATATAATTTTAATATTGTATTTTCCACTTACCGTTTCCTGTTAAAAAGTTGTAAAATAAGGTTAAAAAAACACCTTACACACAGGGACTAGTCGACTACACACAAGGGCTCAACACAATGAGGAACAAAATAAAAATACAAGGTATGCTGGATAAATTGGAGCTCGGGGATTTACCAAAATATTTCAAATGTTGCCAATTTTACATTTTATGGTATTTGTATGGGCCTTTTTTGAAATAATTTTGGATTTATCTGTATTTCCGGATTTTAAAGGACATTTGCCGTCCTTTGACACCTTTCAAAAGGACAAAGGACAGTATTTAGAAATAAAGGACTGTCCTTTGAAATAAAGGACGGTTGGCAACCCTATTAGTTACATTAAAGGTATCATTAGTTAATTCTGCACCAACAAATGTACTTACCGAAATGGATCCTTTGGACCTTTGGATCTTGAATTTTATTTACAATTAAAAACACAATAATTTACCACGATCCCTTAGATAAAATACACACACTAAGGTAACTATATAAGCATTTAAGCGTTGAGTTTCTTAATCAATGATATAAAGAATAATCAATCGAAATCGAGTACTAAACCAGTTTTTTAGTTTTTTCCTTGCAATGTAAAACACAAATAGCGATTTAGATGTGCAACTGAACAAAATGTGTCAAGTAAGACTTCTGCCTTCCTCTCTTTTGTGAAAAAACTACCTATTTATTTGAAAATGATGTACAGTTCGTATGCTTTAAATGTATTGTTGACAATTCTTTAATGCTTTTGAAGTCCACCAGATGGCGCGCGCGTTGCGAAAACCCGATAGTTCTTTAGCATATCCTTTTTCTATGGTATAGCCTTTTATCATTATCATCTTACACAATGCTTTTATTCTCAAACAATACATGAAACACAGACAAACACTGTTTGTCTGTGACATGAAACCAGGGTGGAAGAACCCACCCTGCATGAAACGTACAATTGTGTACAAAGTGAGGTTATAGGTAGTCGAATTTTTTTATTTGTCCAAGCGGATTTTTAAAAAAACTATCCGATTGCTCCATTGGTTCAAAATTATTTGTATTGTTGACAATAATAATAATTATAAACCGCCTAAAGATAAAATATAAATAGATAATGAAGATAATTTTTGCATCAAATCGATTTCATTGCTATGAGTAATCCAAGTAGGTATTTTTAGAGATTGCAATTTATTTACTGATAAATATTGATACAACCGTTTTTAACGACCTCCGTGAAGTTGGCACAACAAATTTCAAAAAAACTAAAAAATGTGGCATTCGTTGGTCCAAGGTCCTTGGACCAAGGAGTGCCCATACATGCCCATCAATAATATAGTTTGCCTATTTCCGCAACAAAAAAGTACCTTTTACTATAAAATTAAATATAATTTCTAACATATTTTGTTTATTCTAGTATTGAAAGAATCATTTAGATTTTTGGTGAACTTGAAAATGCATTTGCCCTAGGTATTTATTGCTAAAATGGGTACTTTGATAATTACCTAACTTAAATAAAAGGTTTAAATAAAAATACCCCACTAATTACTTCAAATAATTTTTATTTTATAAAATCTTCTTATCAATGATAAAACTCGAAAAAAGAAAAACTGTTTTAAAAAACAATGCATGTTAATAATGGATATGGAAATCAAAGTCTATGATTCATAGAAAAGAAAAACTTTTCAGTGTATAACAAAATATATTTTTTCTTTGTTTTTAGTATAGGCAACTATTATTGCTGCGCTGTATCGTCAGTTGCCTTATATCATATAGTTATATTTTAGGTACTCAATTTCTAAGTTATAATAAAACATCGAATAATTTTTTAATTTAAAACAGATACTGTATGTAGAGGGTAATTATTATTATTTTTTAAATCTGCTCATAGATAATTTGCAATTTTTTTCTCAAACCAAATTTGTTATATAAACCTTAAGCTATAATACCTATGAAGTTAGAGGGCTTGTGAGGAAATAAAACAACATTTAATGAAAGTGATTTATTTTTCTTACGAATGATCATGGTACTTATAAATAAATCACAATACACATGATGTATGTCTTTTAAACAAAAACTAGTTATAGTTGAGAAAAGAAACCAAAACAATTTTTTTACAATTTAAGTTGTTTTAATGATTCACTAATATAAAAACATTTTAATTAATTTGTTATTTATTTTATAATAATAAAATTTAATTATAATCACAATTTTCTTGTTGTTATGAAGACTTTTTTGGCTTGGGCAGCATACATGTAAATTATTATAATATTTAATACGCGAATTAAATTATATTCACAAAAGTTACTAACTATAATTTACAAATATATAAAAAATTAAGCTTTTATATAAAAATAATTTTTTTAAATTATTTATACAATATTAACAAAATCTCCTTTGGAGTAAATCAATTTAATGTTGCAGATCTTTGTAAAAGAAACAGGCTTTGCCTATGACAACTAAAATTGTGGTAGGTACATTTTTTTTAAATAAGTATAAGACAAAATAAATAATTTCAGTTGGATCCGTTACATATATAAAAAAATATACAACATTGTGACTTAAAATATATACAAATAAAGCAATATTGACAGTTTATTAAACAGACGATCTTAAAAAAATCACACTTCAACAATACATTTAAATTTAAAATAAATACTAAACAATAAATTAAAATGAACACAGTTCCAATTTTGATTGCATAGTGTGGAATTTTCGTAAATCGCCTTTAAGTTACATTGAATGTAAAAATTGCACCAGAGAAACAAAAATATAGCCGGTATTAGTAGCAGCAGTTCGACTGCCATCTATGGCCAAATACTGAACGAAAAATACGTTAAATTGCCCGGATATATTTTTGCATTGTTTTGTGATAAAGATGTTTCACATATATGTTCCCAAGCACCTTATTATCATCACATATGCTTATGTCTTGCTATTTTTTACGGTTTTCCTACCATATACAATATTTTGTTTCTTTAAATATAATAATTATATAATTTTTTAACATTGGCTAGGATATTTGGCGTTTGACATACGAAACACAGACAATTTACAAAATTCGTCTAATCTAAACTATGTACAGAATTTTCAAATCATAATTTACACATTTATTTAAAACGTAAGATTGGCTACGAGTAAGTTTGAGAATTTACTAGATTTCCGAGACAAAATACTAAAATTTATGACGGTAGATGGGGCTCACCGCAATTAAAATTGATATAGTCTCGATTTTGCAGATAACATCGATAAATATTTATGTCGGCGGTTCGTATGTCGCTGTACCAAACGTGATGATTAATATTATCTTGTTGTTTCTATTTATTTTTACGACGGTTGACTATAAGATGAACACTTTTGCATAAAAAAAGAAATTTCTTTCTTGCTCCTTTTTGTTGCACTTCTTAATCCCATGTTTCCGTTCAATAAACAATATTTAAAAACAGAACAATGTTCTAGTTAATTGTTTAATTCGTCGCTGGAATATCTCGATTAATGCCAAATATCATTTTGATTAATTTAATTATCATTTCAACGCGGCAACATTCTTTTTAACACATTCAATAAATAATTTATTCATATTATCGGAAAAAAATTTGCTAAATTTACCATGTTGCCGCGCCTCGCAAAATGTACACAGTACACAATCTTTCAAACAAATTTGGCACCATTGCGTTTTTATTTATTATTTTATTGGCGACTTGATCGATATTCCAACGAGAAAAGCTCGCGCAATTTTTAAAGTCCGTTTGTTTCTTTATTACACAAAAAATTGGAAAACACAATAAAAAAGCGTCCCATCGCACTGCTTAAATATTTTTTTTTTCATTTAATGGCTAAACGTCCATGTACGCGAATGATGCCGGCGTGAACTTGCACGTGTGCGTCTACACGTGGAAACCACGAACTCCAGATATTGATTTTTCCTTATCCTATGATGATAGCAATATTACGCCGATATTTTGGCGTCAAATGACCTTAGACCATTTATTTATTGACACTAAAACCCCGACACTATTATATCCATGTATTGTGTACTCTGAGACTACCTTAGAATATATAAAACGTGGATATACCTTAGAGCATACAATACGTGGAATATTTTAAATTAAACCACATTAAGTATTGAAGAAAACAATTTGTTGCTACATTCAGAAAGATATGTTTTTACAATGGTGAATATTGCAAAAAAATTTTGAACGATATGACGTAAGTCGATGGTTGTTGGAAAGATCAAGGTCTAGAGTTTTGGTCCACGTGGGTAGAAGAGATAGGTTGCGGCGCGCCGGCGTCGTATGAGTGGGTGGTGTGGTGGTATATAGTCCCATCATCTAGAAATTTCCCAACCCAATTTTTTATTACCCAAGGATTAGGGGTTGTATGCACTCCCCAAAAATACCCTCGTATCTAGCGATTGCCTTGACCGAATTTGTTGGGGTTAGGCTTATTGGGTAGGTAATCGTTCAGTGTAGTTTTTCGAATACTACATATTTTTTGCTCTGAGGCACTGGAAAAAAGTTAAACGCGTTCAAAGTCATAATTAAAGTCGTTGCGTATAACTTTTGTCCCGTTGTTCGGAGCATATTCGAAAAAATAGATTAAACGATTATCCATTTGAGCCCTTTTTCATTTTGAATTTTTCCCATTTAAAAAGCATGTATTTTCAATCACTTGTGTCTTGTAAACTATGCACTTTAGCGATATAAAGGTAAAGACTTTTTTGTAGAGAATTAAATTTTCTACAATCTTTAAAATTTTTTAGTAAGACAAGCCATTCTCTTAATATCTTGAAATATGTGAAAAAAGTAAAAAAAAAATACTTTCAGAGCTCAAGGTGAATCAATGGTGAATAGATGGAGAAAAATTCTTAAAAGCGCTTTTAAAAAGCGTTAAATACTCTGTACTGTAATACTAAGTAGGTAACAAGAAATTACAATATGATAGCTTTAAACCCGGCAAAGATATAGAAACTTAAAAAAGTGATTGAAAATGTGAAAAATTCAAAATGAAAAAGGAAGTACCTACTTAAAATCAAAATTAAGGGCTCAAACTTTGAGGGATTTTTTTTGTCGATCTTTTGAACAATATTTGGAGGTTTCGGTGAAAAACAAAAAATAGCCGTGTTAAATTACCCATCCAAAACAATTACCCCCAGCAAATTTGGTTAAGTCGATAGCGATAGCTAGATATAAGCGAAACAAACAAAATACATTTTTAAAGTGTTGGCAAAGGGGCAGTTTAGGGGATGCGATGCCACTTTTACCTTCATACAACCTCTAATGGATTGGTAAAATAAAATTTGTGGGTACATAGGGAAATTTCTAGATTCACTGGACTAGTAAGCCTGAATGAAGATAGGATGCCTGATGTTTGAGGATTCCTTCTTGATTGTTGGATAATTTTGACTAGAATTTCTGCGTAGCTGTCGTTGTGGTGGGGTGTGGGGTGGGGGGTAGTTTGTTCCTGGGCCGGTGTACCGCGTAATTATAATAAAAATGGAATCGTTTCGTTAACTAATAATAGTAATAATGATAATTAGAAATTCACAAGTAATGTCTATCGACGTTGACGTGTGGTCAGACGCCCGGGTGCGGCGGCGTGGATGGCGGCGAAGGCTGTTTGGCGGCGCATTTCCGGGGCACCAGCACGCCGGGCAACGTCGGCGCCGGGGGCGGCTGCTGCTTCTTGCCGCCGCCGGTGAAAATTTTAACAGTCCTTTGTAAAAAATCAGTCTTTTGGGCCGCCGCCGACGACGATGACGACATCGAGTGGCATCGCACGACGAGCGCCGCTCCCCCGCCCCCGCCGCCGCCGCTCGACCAGTCGCTGCAGCCGCCGACCGACGAGGAAGAGGTGGACGAGGAGGAAGAAGACACCAAAACGCCCGCCGACGAAGATCGGTACGGGGGCGGCGACTCGGACACCAGCACCGTCCGATTGGGGGGCGGTCGAATGCACTTTTGGTAGATTTCCGATTCCTAAAACACAAAAAACTACAATAGGAGAGGGAAGTGGCCGAAGGTGGAATAATTATATATTATTATTATTATTATACCAGCCTTTCTCTAAAACAAACAGTTGAAGACGCAAAACAAGATAGACTACAGTTTAGTCTGGACCACAATCCACACAACAAGGTCTGTTCTATCTCGTACTAAAAATACAAAAAATCACTGCAACACTGCACAGTTTAACGGCGGCCATTTTTGTTGTTTACAATTTTTGTGCTTTGGGTTTGTGCTCTGTTTATACAGATTAATAATCGTTTTAAACTTCGTGTTTCTCATAGTAAGCCTTAAAAGAGTCCTTAAAGTGCTAATAACAACCATTTTACTCCTCTATTGTAAAAAATAAACTTTATTCTATCAGGGCTGTCATAAAACTGTCAAATGTCAATTTTAAGGTTAAATTATAACACACAAATTAATCTTCAAATTGTCATTTGACAGCCCTGATAGAATAAGGTATATTTATTATAAAAGAGGAGTAAAATAGTTGTCCTTAGCACTTAAAGGCCTTATTTGAGGCTTACAAGTGCCTCTGTAAGAAGCACAACGTTTAAAACGATTATTAAACAGCACAAACCCAAAGCACATGAATTGTAAACAACAAAAATGGCCGCCGTTAAACTCTGTGCAGTGTTGCAGTGATTTTTAGTATTTTTAGCATAAGATAGAACATACCTTGTTGTGTGGATTGTGGTCTTGACAATATTTTAAAAATGTATAAATGTAAATCAAAAATTAAAGAAATAAAATTATAAATTGAGATTTAACATTATAATATGCGTAAATATGTTTTATTAATATTAACACGAAGTTATTTATATTTCCGTAACATTTTTAGGATGTCATAATATATTCTTGGTTGCATACGCTACGGGCGGTTACTAATGAAATTAGCGTCTTTTCACATTGACGATTGGTAGCACTGGAAAAACGATGATCTGACAGTTGTTTTTTACTATAAAACAAAAGTGCAACAAGTGTTTTACGTAATTAAGCGAGTTTGTGATGTGTTTTTTAACGCATTGGGTTTATATCACAGATACATCACCATTTTTCCAGTGCTGCCACTTGAAAAGACGATAATTTCCCGCTGCGTATGCAACCATCAATATAATATATTAATGTATTATGGCACATGTTAAAAATATATAAATATATAACTGTTGGGGAAATATAAATAATTTTGTGTTTAAATTAATAATATATATTGACGAATTTTTTAATGTTATTTGACAATTTATAATTTTATTTCTTAAAGAAATGATTTATAATTTGTATTTACATTTATATATTTTTAAAATAGTGTTTTTCATTTACATATTTTTTATTTTTTATTATGGCACAAACGGCGCCTTATCATTTTCCCCCCATGAAAATTTTTAACAGATTTGTATTTCGTAAATGTGCAACACCCTGTATATAATTAAAATAATTTTATCTCCACGCGGTCTATAATTTAAACTTTATTGTTGTCAACATTCGATAAAGAAACACCTTGTTATGGCCTAGGCCGATAAAAATTTTTATGAGGCAAGTAATTAGTTCGATTTTTTCTCGCTAGGGGTATTGTTTTGACAAATTAATCATTTTCTAAAAATTAACGTACTAAACTGGTTTAATTTATTTATAATAAGCACTAATTTGTTTGTTTTACTGTTAATGTTTAATATTTTTCATTAAATTAAAAGTAAAAGTAAAATTAAATATGAATAATAAAACAAAAAGTGAGGTTAGGCAACCAAGAAAACGCAAGATTCTTTTTCTACGATTTAAATTATCTTTAAGTTTTAATTTGCTTTAAGTTTTCAGTGAAATTAAATGTTAAACACAGCTTAAACATTCCAAACTACCTATTTTTTAAATAAAAATCCAAACAAATTGAAATTAGATACCTACCTAATTATTAAACAATTAATTGAATTCAATGTAATAGCAAAAATCCATTTCTACTTAAATCATGTAGCTAGCTATTGTCGAACTATTACTGCTTCTAAAAGCAATAATAATTATTGTACATTTAATGTAATCTTTAGCTAATAAATAAATGAGATTCTAAAAAAGTGAGGTTAGGCCGCTTTGATGGTGAATTAAATTGACCCATATAAAGTGCTTTGAAGATAAAATGTTGTATGCCATTCGGCCAAGAAGTGCCTTTTTGTGCTTAGCACAAAAAGCCTTACTTCCTACCTAATGACATAAATAACTATTAAAATGTTGCTTTAATGGTTGTTCATTTATTCAGTATCAAAAAACGCCGAGACACGGGTGTCATTTTTTTAAAGCCTATTTTCAAAATCTATAGGAATTTTTCATGGGAGGAAATTTTTTTTGTCGTACTTTGATATAGAGAGATATCTACCTGTTCGGGGTCCCTAAGATGCAGCAGCCTGGAGCTGGAGCCGTGCAGCGACGAATGGTGGTGGTGATGGTGATGGTGGTTGTGGTCGCTAGGATGATGGTGATGGTGGTGGTGTTCGTTCTCGCCGTCGGGCAGCGCTATGCCCGGCGGCAGGTCCAATCCTATGTCCGTGCGCACCGAATGCAGCCTGATCTGACGATCGCGGCCGGCGGCCAGCTCGCGCGCCGCCGACCGGCCGCCGCCGCCGCCACCGCCTCGCAGCCGGTCCATGCCGCCCATCCCAGCAGCGGCACCGGCACTCACCACCGACAACATCTGCAACCAAAGAGAAAACACTTAGTTAAATACTGCCGATTTGATACTACTATCGTAGGCAACCCAGTATACATTTAAGATGTGCCTAGCAGCAAACGGAATGGCAAAATCCATTTAAAACAAAACTAATAAAGATATCATTATGAAATTTTAGCACCATATTTTTGGGGTATAAAACTTGATCCGTTACTAATTATAATTCAATTAGTTTAGTGGCGGCGGTTTTATAAGGGTTTAAATGATTGAAATGTTTTTAACACAATTTAGTTATTTTAGAAACTATTAAAAATATAATTTTAAAATTTTAAGAATAGTTTCATATATTATTATTCTTAATTCTGTACAAATTTTAATTTAATTTGATCAGCAGTGGCAATTTTATACTGGTTTAATATGTAAATACAATAATCTTGCAAAAGTACGGAATAATAATTTAATAACAAGTGATCTTAGTTATTTATTATTAAAATAGTTTAATATTATTGTTAATAATAAATGAATCATATCAATTATAATTTATAAAATTGCAATATCCTATTGATAAATAAAATAATAGATATATAAAAATAATAATAATAATAATAATAATCTACCTACACATTTATTTCAATAAATTTAAATACAAATAATGCTCATAAAATAATATACTCAAGAAGTATTTTGTTTGTATACAGTAAAACTTATAATAACAACTCTGTATATTTAGAATCTAAATCCGTTTTTTTCTTTTATCTATTTTGCGTTTATAATGACTTTATAACACCGCTTTCGGTGCTGTAATGAGATCCCACCCAAAATTTTGATTTTATAGGTTGGCTATACTTTAAACAGCATAATATTTTGCAAATTGGTTATAATATTTTTATGATTTTTCTAGTACCTACTTACTAGACTTTTCTGGCAATAAATTTTGTTTAACACCAAAGAAAATCCTTTTTTTATTCCTTAACATTAACAGCCGCTTATTGTAATTAAGTAAATTAAGGACGGCATGGCGAATCGATTTTGACATTAACTGTCAAACCAATGACTGTGACCAACTATTTAAAGTAAAATTAAATTAAATTTAAGGTATAAAATTAATTTTTTTTTATAGAATTTTTGCAAAATAGATAAAATAGCATAAAGAACTCATGTCATAAGACCTTTTCTCGCACTCGTCCATAACAAAACTCGCTCCTTCGTATAAATTGTCCGCGTGCGACAAAATATACTATTTTAAAATTATTCTTTTTTTATATAAATGGATCGGAGGTTGATAGAAGTCTTTAGTCGCAGATCTTGATATTTTTCTAGTAGGATGTTCTCTAGAGCATTTAAAGTCCTTGTTCATAGACTTCTTTTATTAAAAAAAAATATATTACAAAATCTGTTAATACAGGGGTGATTTAAATAAAATACCTACATTAGGAAAAACCGAAAGAAACAGCCAGAAAATCAAAAAAATCGAAAATTCGTACAACTTTGAATTAATTTGAATAGATGGCGTTCGTAACCCCGCTTCAAATTAAATGAAAAAACATAACCAGAAAATCATTCGTTCAGTTGTTTTAGCGAGAAATTAGTTTAAATAGTTAAGTTTTTAATTGTTTAAATAGTAAAGTTCTCAAGGTAAGTTTGACAGATTTGAGCGACTGTGAAAACAATTTCGTGTCGTTTTACAGTGTTCAATGAATGTATATAATTAGAGCAGATAGATTCACAAAGAAAAAGACTTTTCCCTACTTTGAGAATTTTTCACCACTTTACATAATTTAATACACGTCTATTTTTAACTATAAAATTTTAAATAAACAAACGCCTTAGCTTTAATTTAAAAAAAGATATATTAAAAAATTTCTATTAGTTTTAAAATTACAGCCATTTAAACTTGAATAATGTTAAAGAAAAATTGTCAATTTTGCTTAATTGTAAACTTGGTTCACTTCAATGTTCTAAAACTTGTTTTATTGGTGTTATTGGTAGTAAAAATGTAGACTAGAAAATCAAGCATTGTATTTCCTACGGCTTATTTGACCTTGCCAAGGTTCAGGGCGTCAGCATATAGCACTTAAAAAACGTTCCTCCGATTGCTAGACGACCCAGAGGGACGCGAAGAGGCCAAAGACCTGCCACCTGGCAGACAAACACCTGCGTTTGCCTTATCAATATTTCGTCTTCGACTTGTAGTAGTAGTAGTAGTAATAGTAGGAGTCGATTGCACCTGAGGCCGCTGCATTCGGTTTTTTCACGTTAATTAATGCATTAATTTTATTTATATTAAGTAATATTTAGTAACCAGTAGCGTTTTGTGAATAAACTTTGGTGTAAGGAAGGTTAAAAGTAGAAAAAACGCGTTTAGTTTTTACGGTCATCGAGCCTTTGATTAAGATCTTTTGTTATTTCAACTGTCAACGTGATAAAATACAAGCGCCGACTGTCGGTTAAAAAAACGTTTTAGGTCGAAACACACGGTAAATTTACTTTAATAGACAAAGGCAGTTGAACAGTGTTTTCTGTGTGCTAGCTTTACGCGTTGCCTCGTTTAAAATTCTTTTGTAGATTTTTTTATCGGCACGAATCTTACATTACACATTTACATATTTATGTGCGTATTAATTTACATTTAATTACGATAAAAAATAGCTTTACCTTGTGCCGCTTGTGTCGATTCACTTTGAGTTAGAATGGCAATAGCTTGGAAATGTCACGTTTACGTAAGGACCGGTGCTACAGATAAAGGTTAACTGTTTTTGACAGCCTCTAAACTTTAGAGTCTAAAGGTTCATCAAATATTGTTGAATGTTTGTCATAAATATGGGCAATATTCATAATACATACTGGGTTGCCTATTATATTATATCATAATATTGGTAGGACTGGCGAGTTGGTACTTGTGATAACTCATGAGTGTGTATTGTGGTTAAAATTAACAAACGTGTTTTGTTAATTACGATGATTTCTTAGTGTTAATAATAGGTTCATTCATTCATAGTACATTATTAAGTTTGATAAATTCCATTTTAGACGCGAATTTAATGATTTAAATTATTATTTGTATAGAGCGACATCTATAAAATAATAGGGTAAGCAACTTTGAAGTTTCTATTATGTCAAATGTCAATTTTGATGTGTAAATAGAAATGTATTCCTTGAAAATTGAACGGATATAGAGGCAGTTAGGTATTCACAGTGAAAGTAAGTTAAATGTATTTACTGTCGGCGAAATTAAAAGGTCAATACAAAACTTTTCAAATATTGGCTTTGAGATACTATTAATTACCTACTCTTGTATTTTTGTATTGAGATAATAAAATAATTTTTATGCACGATGACATTATAATATGACAATTATAACAAAAATTCTTTGACGTAAACGTCTTTTTATAGCCCGCGGGCGTTATTATGGCCCAGCGGGCTATAATGAAACGTCAAAAATTAAAAACAACAATGTTACACCATTTGATATATTCGAAGTAAGTTTTTTCGTATAAAGATTTTGATTTTACCGGCAGCAGGCCGCAATTTTTCGCCTTTTCAGCTGCTTCCTCAATTTCATTTATCTTTAAACTTTAAAACTGACTGATGTCAGTTGACATTATAATATGACAATTATAACAAAAATTCTTTGACGTAAACGTCTTTAAAAACAATAATATATTAAAAATAATAATATATTAATCGTGCATAAAGTTTTGTATGCATTGCTGGCATAACTGGTTTTTATGGTCCTACGACGCTTTTCTAGCCCTCGCGCTAACGCGCTCGGGCTCGAAATAGCGCCTCAGACCATAAAAACCTTATTACATAAATAACTATTATATTTAGTACCTACCTATTAGTTTACCAGAATAACACTTTATTTTAACGATTGTATGTTAACAATGTTGTTAAAAAGGTGCCGTGATTTTTTGGTATTAGCATTTTAAAAGCCTACTGAATAAAACATAGTTTTACCAAAACCATTGGCCTATAAAAAATACAGTTAGGTTTTTGTCCCGGCAATAAAAAATAATTACTTAGTAGGTAGTTCAAACAAAGCAGTAGCCGTTAAAGGTTATATTTGGACGCAATTTTTGTCCGATTTTAATCTGTATTCCCATTCAGCCCATCATTAGACAACATTTTAGCTTTGCATGTTTGGAATAAGAAACCAAAGTGATGTTATTTGTAACGTAAAGCAAGCTATATGTGGGACAGTTGGTATGGGAAAGCGTCCATTTCAATGAAAATTTTTTTATTGCGGTTCTTTGTGGCTAAAAAAACCGGTAGACAAGCGTTGGTGTCAAAGTCCGCTCATTGTGCACTCGAGTTCCGCATATCTCTTTTTAAACAATAAGACATTTGCATACGGAAAATGGGACACGACCTCACGCACTTTTTGTACGCGAAACGGTCGCTCGGTTTTTGTTTCTTTTTCTCTGTCATCCGAGATTTTGTTGCGACCAGGTGGCCCATTGCTGTATTGCGCAGACCTTATTTTTCCAAAATACAGTAACGGAAATAATTTTTTTTTCCTGCCAACTAAAAATTCCCCCAATCAAATCATCATTATTAACATAAAATTAGGTCTTACCTAGTTATTCATGAAATGTAAAGTAATTTAACGCTTGTAAATTTGGGCGAAAAAAATTCACACCCAATAAACAGCGTGTTATGTAACGTGTTTCCCATTCAATTCTACGAACCGTGCAGCTCTATAATTTTACAATTTTGGGCCCGTTAATTGGGTCTATTGAAAGTTTAACACGTGTGTAGTGGGGGGGGGAGAACAAAGCATCTGTATGTATGTTAATTAATATTTAATTGGGCACTTGCGCTACATACTTAAATGTTGCAAATTTGTTGGATGGTAAATACGGGTGACGTTCACAATATCGAAATTCATTATATCGAATTCAAAATATCGAACACTTTTTATCGAAAATCAAAATATCGAAAATACAAAATGTCGAAAATCAAAATATCGAAAATTCAAAATGTCGAAAATGATAATATCGAAAATTAAAATGTCGATTTGA